TCACCCATTGAAAACATGTGGTCATGGGTTGCTGAGAGATTGCCCCGCCACCCCTCTCCAGCTAATACAGTTGATGAAGTTTGACATAGATTTGAAGCAGCATGGAATGAGTTACCAATTTCTGTCATCCGAGCCCAGTTTGACTGTGTGCCTAATAGGGTAAGGGCTGTTTTAGCTGCCAGGTGTGGCAGCTGTTTCTACTGATTTTACACCCCTGTAAATCTCTTAAATGCATACAAATTTAATCATTTTGTCTTCATGCCATACTTTTTGTGTATAATAAGTATTTTCTTTGTATTTGCTGTCCTTCATGATTTTGCAATTTTAATGGCCAGCAATGTACTTGATAGGGTTATATATTCTATTTAGTTGCTTGAACATCATTGTTCTACAAGATGTCTTATTTACAATTTGCAGAAGGTTTCTTCTTGCAGTTGTATGTACATGAATGTGGTTCCAGCATAACAGGCTGCTAGCTCATTTCTACAGTAATGTCAGAAATTACCTTGATGTTATTTATGGCTCTTACTAGATTGAAGATTGGATCTGTTCCTGGGCCATAGTAATCACTAGATCTGATGTGCATAGATTTCTCATTCTGGGGCACATTAAGAGCATGATATGTAAAAGTTCCGTTGAGTGCAATGAAGATCTAGTAGTCAGACTGTCAATTGCTGCTAGAAATGCCTGAGATCATTGCTGTTGTATGCCAAGCCATGCACCACTACTGTGAATCTTGTATTTCTCTTGGGTATCATGCTTTTGAGCAACCAAGGACTGGAAACATGAAAATGTTGGTTTCTTTTAGCTTTATCTATATAATATGTTGTTCATACTTTCCTTACTTGCCAGAAACTTGCATATATCATTTCTGTGCATACACTGCATTACAAAATCTGTTTATTTTGGTCCCCTCAGCCTATCTTTAGTTATTTTATAATTGCTCTGTATGCATATGCTAACGAAATTTCATGTGTATATTTCAAATTTAACTTTTATCATACTGAGTGAGGTTTTAAATTTTACCTTTATTTTACTTTATTCTAATACTGCACATGAGGCATTTAACGGTAAAATTTGATGACTATTTTCAAAATTCTGTTCAACTGTATTTATTATTTGAAGAACTGTTGTTATTTGATAATTTTATCAGTTGTGGATATTAGTTATTTTTGGATCAAGAGTGTGATTTTGTATATATTCAGAAACGTTTGTTATATTGTTTGCATTAATTAGTATATTATTAAATATACAATTTTGTCCAAAAATAAAACAAACTTAGTTTTACTTATAATGTTAATTTTATATAATTATTAGTATTTATAATAGATTATTTTCTTTTTCAAAGTGCATCTTTAATGAGTTCTTTACATTCATATTACATTTGAATGTCAGCTGAATCTAATGAAAGCCTGAAAATTTTGTTTAGTTTACTGCTTATCTGTCAGATGCTTTTTAGATTCTTCATGTGTAACTTCATCTTCAAATTTTTAGCTTTTTTAGTAATTAGAATATGAGTTTAATCATCAATTGGCCATTACAATGTCTTTGTACCCTGACATCCATGCATGAAAATAATATTTGTACTTCTGAAAGAAGTTTCCTTTTTCTTCAGGAAGATCAGCATATATTTTGCATTTCAGCACTAATATTTCTGTCGATATAGTGTAATAATGTATAAAAAAGTAAACCTGTAACAATCTCTTCAACATTGTTTTATTTTTTTTTTAATCTTCCTTTCATTAATTCATTTTGAATTGTTTTTCTGGTGATTCTGTTCTACATTATAGCATCCACTATTTTTTGTTGCTAGAATACTTTCTCCTAGGCCTTCCATCTTCCCCCCCTATCGCCTTAATGTTTGTACTTGCTGTCCTATAAGAAAGCAATAATTCATAAATTATAATTCACTTTGACTTTTCAGATAATTATTTAGTGATAAGATTGAATGAATAAAACAGGTTAGGCAGATGAGAAAACTATCTTAGTATGTTTCTAAGTCTCATTACATGAGTGCGATTTGGTTTATATGAATACGGCAAAGCACACTAGGTTTATCTTCTGAATGAAAGGCCTTTGTAGCCAACTTTGTAAGGGAAACTGCTTCATATCCTCGTTACACATGGGAAAATCCACAAAAATCCCCATGCAGCTAGCCTGTTTGCCTGAGAGTTAACTTTGTTCAAATTACCAGTGTTCAGCAACTTTAACACTTAGCCTTTGGTGGGCGAACATGAATGAAACAGTGATCTATAAGAAGACATGCCATAGCTCAGCTCATTCCATATTAATAATCACTTGCTGAAAATCACTATCATCCATGCCTTAAAGTAAGCATAATATCAACATTGTTTCACAGCAGCTATGAAAGCATGCAGATTTTTATTTGACCAATAATAATCATCTTTTTTTTTCTCTCTCTCTCTCTTTTTCGATTATATTCACTTAGTATAAGAATATAGCAGATTCTTTCATATTTTTTCCTCTGAAGTATATGAGTTCTTAATCTGTTTATTCTGTTAAAACACAATAGTATATAAAGTCTGAACTCATTGGCCTTATACACGCTTTCAGGTCGACAAATATAATTTGAGTTTGTTTTGCTATATTCGGCCTTCAGAAAAATGAGCATCATGAGTTTGTTTTTGTTTGTAAACAGAATTCTTGTATAATCTATGGCTAGAAAATAACTTTCCATATATAATAGAGAAAATTATCCCATCGGTATTTGTAATACAGAAATTAAAAACTAATTTCAGAAATCCATCTTTTCTAGAATGTTACTTTTTGTGATCTAATTTTCAATATACTTAACAATTTATTACAAGAATGTAATTGAGAAAATGTTCATGAATTGTTCCTTTTGCCTCAACTTGGGAAGTTTATCATAATTTTCACAATATTGCTCTTAATTTTCTCTTAAATCTGCCATATTCTAACCAAATTTTAAAAAGTGCAGGATATTTGGTATTTATATACACTGCTCTGTGCTGAAGAATCTTCAGTATAAATGCATTTACAGTGAATCTCAGATTGGCAGTTCACAGGTTGCATACATCCAGAGAAGCAATTTTATGCGGTCTGAGAACATTTCAGTTATGCATTTGTTCTAGATATAATTGATATAGTTTTAAGAGAGATAGTGATATGAATTGAGCTTATGTGTGAGATTGCTTTTGAAAGGAAAAAAGACAATGAATAAGTTGAAGCTAGGCCATGAGACAATAATAGCGTAAAAGAACTTTTTACATAGGTATAGAATTAGTAAATTTAGTTCACTAACCACAGCTGATGGTGCATCAGGTGTTCTGGTATTTCTGAATTTTGCTCAAAAGTGCTATTAGTTTCAAAACACAATTTTGCATTGTTTCACTTTTCATCTGAGTCCATTACTATTTGGAAAAATGTAACATTTTTCTTTCATACTTAATGTGTCTGTTGTTAAATAATAAACTAAAGTATAGATACACATCTTAAATATTATTTATTTACTTTTAAATCTGACTGATTTAAATAAATATGTATTTGTTTCATGATATATCTTATTAAAAACATAAAATATTTTGAAGAATCCATATTTTTCTTTTTTCTTTTTTAAAATATGCAGATTATATGTAATGTTCCCATGTTAGTTTAAATGCAGAATCATCTAATATCCTATAAGATGTTTCACTATTCCGTCTGGGCCATTTTTGTTGATAACCTGTACTGATAAAACATATTAAGCTTAAAAAAAGCCCTTTTAATTTTAACTTTCTCTCTCTCTGTGTCTTCTTCCTCTTTGAGGGGGGCGAGGTTGGTACTTCCGATATATAATTTCCTTGTCTCATTCACTTGTTGGTTAGCAAGATGCAATGCCGCATTCCTATGCAGATGGAGACAAACTAAAATGGCTTGTAAAACCTGCTTATTTGTGTTTATTGTTAGATTTACGTTATAGCAATACTGTTTAGAACTGTGAATACCTTTTGAATGTTCCTCTCATATGAAAATTCATCTTGTTAGATTATTATTAAAGTTGTAAATAAAATTATAGTGATTTTAATTAAGAGATAATTCTGCAAGCCATGTCTTTATTAAAAGGAAAAAGAGAAGTGAGCAAAGTAGAATGTGTTTTCAAGAAAAATGAGAAATTCTGTACTTTTATAATGTTGTGAGCAGTAAAATTGTGTTTTATTTGCAATAAGTGAATATAATTTCCTGTTTACTTCACCGTTGCAAAACATGTCATAAAGCAAAATTTGAAATTTTTAAAGAGAAATTGAGGAAAGGAAAATTACAGTTTCTGAAATCCGTCTTACAGTGTCAATAAAATATTTTAATAATATTTTTACTGAAGCAAATAAATTCAGTTAAGCAGCAGTTCATCAAAGTTTTGCTCTGTTTATATGTATAGCTGTTAAAAAATAATTTGCACTCGTAGCTGCTCTCAGACTGTGAATTCAGCTCACGTGGCCATGAGATCACGGAACTAAAGCATACATCCAAGGATTATGTATGGATATTTGATTATGGAAGATATGATCTATGATGTGAATAAAAAAAACTTGCTCAAAATCTGATTGTTTCACGAGTTCCTTCCCCCATTCCATCACTTTTTTTCTTCTGCCCTACTCATCTTTGCAGTAGGTTGACTGATCGAAATCTTATCCTTGACTTCTGATGATCTGGTTATTGTGTCAATTGCTCAGAATTGGCTTTTTCTCATTCTGACTGACATTATATAGAAAAAATGCTAATCCTTTTTGGCCCATGTAATTTCAAAAATTTGCTTTCAAACTGATAATGAATTGATTGATAATATGTAAATAAATGATTACAAAAACAACTGTTAAGTTATGCAACTGGTACAGAAACTGCATTTTTGTAATAAAATAATGTTACATGAATGATTACTTTAATGGAAACATTTGTGTTCAGTATATATTCCCATTTGGAAATTATTTAAGCAAACTGCATGCTGAAGTGTTAACAAGTTTTATTTCTCTGATTCCTTATAGGATCTCAGTATGCTAGTTGGTTGCCTAATTTTCTTGTAGAAGTTACCCATAATGATGTTTCTAATGAGAGACACATTTCATCTGGCCATACATCTCAGCTTGATGGCATGGTAAGTTAATTTTTTTTATTAATTTTTAAGTATAAAATATTTTGCTTCTTACCTGACTTTTAAAATCTGATTTGTTATTAAAAAACTATTTGAAAGTAAATTTATTATATACATGAATGCAAACATGAACATGTGAAAAACTTATAAGAAATTTTTGTTCTTTTGAAAAATTAGAAAGTAACAAATCAAAGCGCTGTTAAAAAAAAAAAAAAAAAAAACAGATTTACTGTATGGCAATTACATTTCACCAATTTGTTCTATAGGTTTCTCAAGAATTGTAATAAAATTTTCATTGCTCTCTGATTCTGCAGTTCTTTTTGAACAAAGCTAAAATAATCTTTTCAAGGAAATTCTCAGCATCACAAAAATACATTTCTGAAGTGGTTCAGTATGTTTTATAAAAAACAGACTCTTTGGCTTTATGAAATCCTATGATAAAATGTCCTGAAATGAATAGTTTGAGCAATAAACTTTTGTGCTTATATGCTTTGCATGAACTAGAAATGGATTCAATAATTAACTGCAGTAAATGCCCAACTATTTGGCATTCAGCTAACCAGAAAGGTTAATTAACTAGAATATTTTAAGAATTTTAGAAAACCTTTTCTTCCTAAAAATTAGTAAATGAGAGATTTCTATTGCCTTTATATAACTCGTAATATTATTAACACATAAACATTCTCACCCAACAGTGCAATTTAGCACCAGTAATGGTTAAACATGATGTCATAACACAATCATAAAAAGTTTATTTGGATTTAATATAAAAGCAATTAATTGTCAATAAGCCAAATTAGTTTTTGACAAGCAACTTTAAAAACAGATCAGCAGTGGCAGTGTAATATGAAAAATTATGCTAAGCAATTTAACTTTTTTATATATGACATCCATAAGTGGTTTCTCTTTTTTATCTAATTAATTACAAACAATTTGTTCATTTAAACTTCTACAGGAATATTTAGCAACATCTCCTCCAACTTTCATGTTTGGCAGATTTTATGATTATAATAATTGAAATATGTCAGCTGTTATGATTGAAATGCATTTAAAAAAAAATCTTGCATACTTTTAAATGGAGGAGGCTTTTGATATTCTAGTTGGTAACAAATAAGATGATTTTATTTATAATTTTAAAACAGAAAAATTTCCCACCTATTCTGCTTTTCTAATGAATTCTTTTTTTTATACACTCAACCATTTGGAATTTGTCATTTCCTAAGCTTTTACTGAAGTTTTTTTTTTTTTTTTTTTTTTTTTTTAAATCTATTCTGTTATTTTAGTACAAACAGAGAAATTGCTTTTTATTGTGATTTCATCACTACATTGCCCCATTTCAAGAACTCCTTGAACATATTTTAAGAATATTATTTTTTAAATAAATGTTTTTCATGAACAGTGCATTAACTTAGAAAGTAATCAAAGTTGCATCAAACTTGGAGATACATGAAATGCTGAAATAAACTTTTGGTATTCTCTTCCTAAGTTAATTGGTATAACCATTTGGAGAAAGATCTGCAGTCAATTCATGATGCTTCAACATTAATTGACAGCACTCATTCACCAAAGATTGCAATAGTTAAAATTAATCGTGTTAGCAGATTCCAACAAAAGAATTAGTAATGTATTTTTACAAAGTAACTGCCCAGATAATGGTTAGGGAAGCCTACTGCAATACTGAAGGGCTTGGGTTTGAATCCCAAAGAAGGCATGGATGTTTGTCAATGTATAGTGTGTTTGCTGCATGTGGGCACTCTACGTGGCAAGTCGAAAGTCCTCTCGAGAAGTTGGTAGTAGGGAAAGAGGGGTGGGAGACCCGTGGACCCATCCCCCTGAGGTACTTTCCGTCAAAATTGGGGCAGAACTGAGTGAAGTCGTACTGTCATCTGTATGGTTTTCAAGGCTTATAACCAACCAACAGATACAATCGTGCTCTGCTTGCCATGATGAGTTTTGTGGGCTCGTTCTGATGCTGCTATTGGGCAAGCCATATAAGTCACAACATGCAACATTTCTATAAAGTTTATCTCTTGTTTGCTGATTTTTTTCAGTGCAGGGTCATATTCCAATCAATCAGGAGTATTTGGTTCAGGGCAGTAATGATAAAAGAATTTGTGTAGATTATTATTATGATAATACGACATAGGCTTGCAGCTACTATGCTGTCATGACAAAACACAAATGCAGCAAAGACTGAAAAAATTTTTTGAGACCTAAAAATTGCTATATACCAAGATAATGTAAAAATGATATAGATCCCTTCCTCGTTTTTTTTATGCATTGTTCTCCCATGAGGAATTTTTACTAGTAAATATGAATTTCAGTTTTCAAATATGCAGATTTCAGTTTACTCTTGTATTGTAGCATTATCTTAAGACATCCTGGAGAAAATTGCCTGAAGTAAAATACCCAGGCAGTAAAGAAATAAATCCTGGTCTTTCTGTCATGACACCACATCTGCACGTGTATCACTATTAATGTGGGACTTTGCTAACCATACTTCCTTTATCTCTTTACTTGCCTAATCTCCATCTTTTTCTTATAGTTGCATGCATAGGGGTTCCTAATAGATTGAAAGTTTGCAGAATCAATGATAGCTTGATAAAATATATTTTTCCAAAAGAAAAACTTGATAGTTCTTGAACTTTCCACAAAAGTACTCGTACAGCTCTTCTCAACAGGACAGTTCAGTCAGTGTTTGCCACTTCAAACTACTAAGGCTGTTAAACATAATGCAATCCAAAATCCATTTAGATGGCTCAGAGATATCTCAATGCTCCAAAGTCAACTCTGAACTATGTATAGTTTCAGCCCAGCTGCAAAAAATTTCCACTACCTTCCAGCTTCTGATATTACTGAAAGGCCTATATGATTAAAGTTATGTATAAGGGTGGGATATGGTTAGAGTTGCATATAGTTATTCAATTACAGTTACACAGGGACCAGAGCAAAGTGTCGGCAAATGGTCACCAAGTTTGGTGACATTTGAGGATTTCTTAACAAAAATTAGTTGCCAAAACCATTGTCAACATTCCATTATCTCACAAATTTGGCAAGATAGCCATTTATCTCAATGTTAAATGAACCCAGTAACCATATTTTTACAGCATAGCTTCATCTCTTGATGCATTTCGTGTTACACAAGAGATACTATGATTTTATATATAATTTCATTAAAATTATTGATATATATATATCCAAAATCCATAACATTATTTTCAAAATGAAATTCCACATCTAAGGGATGAAGTCTCAACATGATTGATTATACAATGGAAAATTTTCAAACAGGGTTATCTTTTTTATCAGAGAGAGAAAGCATCTTTCTGAAAACCACTTGGCTTTGGAAATAGTGTATCAGCAAAGAAATTGAGTACTTCAAAGATGACATTGCTGAATAAATTACAAGAGAGCCTAAAATATAGATAAAAGGTGTGAAATTTTTTCATATACTAATATCAAGAAAAATATAATAAATTCTTATAAGAAGAAGTGTGAAACAAGCATAAGTAACATGTGGTTTCCCCCCATTTTAAAAAAGAATTCGAAGTTTGCATTATTCAGTGTTCTGCTACTTCTTTTGTACAATGTATTTAGTGGATTACAGTGATAATCCTGATTAATGTTATTTTCGAGAAATTACCGAAGCTGAATATCATAGACTTTTATGTTAGGTGATGGAACTAGCTCTAGCAAAATATTCTTAATGAATTTGCATTGTGCATTCACTAGAAGAGTGGAATGTTTGGGAAAAAACTAATCTTACATAAAAGTAGTAATCCACTCTCAGAAGCTACTTTAATGGCACAGTAAAACTGTTTGTCATATTCTGGCATCTCAAATCAGTAACTGAGTAGTTCAGAGACATGACTGGATAATGTTTTTTAAATCCAACAATTATGTGATACAATTTTATATTTATGTGAAGGAATTTCGTTCTTTGTGACTTTTGCATACTCATACTCGACAAATGTGCTATTTATTAATAACTCTCATTGACTGAAAGCTAGCTTTAAATTTCTACAAAAACTTTTATAGCTAGACCTTTTGTTATTTCTGTTCGAACAAGAAATGTCAACGTCATTATCTATTAGCTTTCAAAATTCCAATCCTGAATTCTTTTAAAATGTATAGAAATGACAAATGTAGGAAATCATGAGGATGGTTCCGAATAATCACATTTTCAAGAAATTCCCTTAGTTATTTTTTACATATCTGATGTAGATGTGGGAAAATTCTCTCAGTGTACTTCTGTGTGCATTAACTAGTGTTTGAAAGAATCTAATCATATGTCAAAATAATCATACACAAACCTTTGCATGTGCTGTTTTAATTCTGTACAATTTTTCATATATCTGTACAGTCATGTGTATCACATGCATATATATACTGCAAGAATCAGTATTGTTCTTTGCATTCTGCATTTCGTATTGTATCCTTTTTTAAGTTTAATGATGATCTTTTTTTTTTTTTTTTTTTTTTCAAATACAAGTCATTTTTCATTGACTATGCAGAATTAAGGTACCAAATCAGTATTTGTTCAGGCGATGAAATTGTTGTGTTGTTCAGCTGCAATATTGCAGATATAAATGATGTCATATAGCTCAGTAAATAGACTGATTGTATAGAATTTTTAGTTTTTCCCCTATGTGTAACATAAATATGACTCAGTTTCCTTCAGAAATTCCTTAATAAAAGCAGATCGCATTTGTGAATTTTTCCATATTCAGTTAACTTTAAGCCTACTCTTAACAATCAGAATGCTCATATAAAGAAATTCAAACTCCACAAGTCTTCCCAGTACTTTCCTAGTTTCATAATATGCACTGCTTGGGGGAGATTGATTTAAGAGTTAATTTTCTTCGAACAGGTATCATCTGCTGTGTGAAAATTTGGCTTTATGATATACTGTAGATAGCAAATCCAGATAATTTCTATTTTCGTGAAGAAGCATGAAGAGTAGTTCAGCATTTATTTTATGAGTGCATAAAAAATTGTCTCTTTGTGTATAGCATTAAAATTTAAAGTAGTTTTGCTAGAAGTTTTGATTACAAGTGATGAACTATGCTGTAAAAAGAAGTGTGGGCATCGAAACAAGTTTTTCTTATCAGCCATTGAACAAAAAAATTCTGATTTTTTGTATTGTGCCAGAAATATGTAGAAATTATTTCTCAGTGGCATAAATGACAATAAAATAATATATTTTGTTTATCTTGTTTCTTCTACACTGTAGGTTGTGTATGTCCCACTTCTGAATCTTGATTGGTTTAAAAGCATAATCGCCACTGCTACCACCTTAACAGCTTCAAGTGCACTTGCCTTTTTTTCAATTTTGGAAGTTGAATCTATGTTGCACATGTTATCTATATTATCTCTGTATTTATCAAATCATTATTCTTTTTATAGTTATTTTAGATTTTAAGAAATGTTTGGTATGGTTTAATAGATTTTTTGAAAATATGGGAATGCTCAAAAGCCTTTTCACATAAAAATTAATGTTAATTTCTTCTGTGTTTTATGCCATTTTGGCTTATAAAATGTTTCTTAGGCACACTTTACTTTCATAAAGTAAGGGAAAATAATATTGCTTTTGCTTGAAAAACATTTTGTGCAAAACTCGCTCAGTTGTGTTCCAAGAGTTTTAAGGTCAGATAATATTTATTACCCTTCAACCTGTACACAAAAGTTAAATGGCTGAATTGTTAGGAACGTATGCATTTACTTCTGTCTGTTAATAGATGATATTTATAAGTTTTACACTTATAAATATCATATTAATCATTTCAAGGTTTGAATTTCTTTGTTATTATTGCTCTATTGAAACTTTTGAAGAATGAAATGACGTCTTCGATATGCATGACAAACATTTATTTAAACTATGAAGACATTAAACAGCAGAGTAGAAACATGATATTACACAGCCCTTTGCACTTCTCTCTTACATGCAATACTCACCATTGACTTTGGCTAACTACCTATTAACTGAATATAAGTATTACGCAACAGAGAACTTGCTTATCATGCGCATGCGCTAGTTGAATCAACGGCGGTTGCCAACATACCCCCTTTCGACGTTGATTCTCCTATTCCTGAAAAGTAAAACAAAATACATATTAAACAGTATTCAATCCTATAATTGTACAACAGTTTTGATGTTTAATAGGAGTCGGGTTTGGTTAACACATCAGCTCCCATTTCACTGGTAGGTATGTACTGCACATCTAATTCACCACGTTCATATACTTCATGCACAAAATGATGGCGAATGTCTATGTGCTTTGTGCGGAAATGAAACACTGAGTTCTTCGTAATTTTCTGAGCTCCTTGATTGTTGCAGTATATTGTTGTTGGGTGTTCTATGTTGTAACCCAGCTCCTTCAGGAAACGACATAGGTAGACGGTTTCTTTGGTGGCCTCAGACAAAGCCATATATTCTGCCTTCGTTGAAGATAGAGCTACACTGTGTTGTTTTCGTGATTCCCAGGTTATGGCTGAACCACTTAATATATATACAAAACCGGTGTAAGATTTTCTATCATTGACATTTGATGCCCAATGTGCATCCACAAAGGCGATGAGTGGTTTTCCTGTTTTCGTATAAATTAGTCCTTGATCTTGTGTTCCTTTAGATATCGAAGTATTCTTTTCGCAGCATACCAATGTTCTTTTCCCGGATTAATGTTAAATTGACTTGAGAAATTCACGGCCTATGTGATATCTGGCCTAGTAGCTACTGAAAGGTACATTAATGATCTGATCAGATTTCTAAATGGAAAATTTTTCATGTCAGCGTTTTCGTTTTTAGGACTTATCTCTTTTGATAATTTTTTGCTATTATCTATAGATGAAGACACGGATTTAGCATTTTGCATATTATACCGATTTAAAATATCATCAATGTATTTCTTTTGAGAAATTTTAATTGAATTCTCATTTTGGTAAAATTCTATGCCTAAACAATAATGTAATTTCCCCAAGTCTTTCATTTTGAAAGCAGAAGCTAAACTATCGCGAATTGTTTCATACGTTTGCTTAGAATCGGTAAAACAATAAGATCGTCTACATAAACGATTATAATAGTTTCACTGTTAGACGTCTTTTTAATATAAACACAATTATCTGAATTAAGATATTTAAATTTCATAGATTTTAATTTTTCATCCAATTTTTTGTACCACTGACGTCCTGACTGTTTAAGACCATATAATGATGTCATTAAAAGATATACTTTATCTGAATTAGTTTCATTGCGAAAACCTTCAGGAATTTCCATGTAGATTTCTTCATCTAAATTTCCATTTACATAGGCCATTACAAAATCTAATTGGTAACCTTTGAGATTGTGTTCTACTGCGTAGGCTAAAACTGTTCTTATGGAACTTAATCTAGCAACAAGGGAAAAGTTTTCAGTGAAATCAAGACCAGGGATTTGAGCGCACCCTTTAGCAACTAGCGTAGCTTTGTATTTTTCGATAGTGCCGTCATGATTATATTTTAATTTAAGAACCCATTTACTACCAATAACTTTCTTGTTTTCAGGTCTTTTTACTAATTTCCAAGCCTTTTCTTGAACAAGCGAGTTATATTCTAACAGCATGGCATTATGCCAATTTTCAGCATATGGTCCATTTAATGCTTCTTGCACCGTAGGATTAATGCTTTCCTCAACAACATTTTGAGTTTGTTCATTTTTATTTACAACTCTATAGTGGTATTCCTTTTTAGGCCTTCCTGGCAAACCTGTTTTTATTTTCTTGTGTCGACCAGGCCCTTTTTTAATCAGGATAGGAAGCATTGATTCGCTATCTAAATCACTTCCACTTTCCTTTTCAGATTCAGAGTTAAGTGGCGACTCGCTACTGTCCAGAGGTAATGATTCATTACAACATGTTTTATTTATAATTTTTTCCTCCAGAGTGAAAGGCAGATTTATTTCTTGCTCTGAGTCATAACTGCAGCAGTTTTCAAACTCGTTAATAAATTTTACATCTCTGCTTATTATCACTTTACATGCCTCGGGATCCCAAAGTCTATACGCTTTTGATTCATCAGAATAGCCAATAAAAATACATTCTTTAGATCGAATATCAAAATTGCCTATTCCTGGCCTTTTATTTAGCGAAAATGCTTTTTGGCCAAAGGTTCTGAAGTGAGAGACAGCTGGTACTCTGCCAAACATCACTTCGTAAGGTGTTTTTATTTCGTGTTTTAACCCTCGCGTTGGGCAGCGATTTCGAACGTAAGCAGCCATATTGACAGCTTCGGCCCAGAATTTCTGAGGCAGATTGGACTGCAATAACAAACGTCGCGCCATTGAAACTAAAGTGCGATTTAACCTTTCGGCGACGCCATTCTGGGCTGGCGTGTAAGGAGTGCTCATTTCGTGTTTTATTCCCGCATCATTAAGAAATTTATTAAAGTCTTTCCTTAAATATTCTAGCCCGTTATCGGTTCGCAGGATTCTGATTTTAGAGTTAAGTTTATTTTCAAAAGGTGCTTTAAAATTTTTGAAAGCTTCTTTAACCTCATCCTTAGATTTCAGAAAATAAACACGAACATATTCTGCATCAATGTTCGTTTCTTATGCTACTTAAGTTATACAGTGTGTTAATAACTCATATTAGAAATTCATTTCTGAAATCTCAGTGATTATTCCCTGCTTTCCTTTAGGTAAATTACTGCTCAAATGGCTATATTTGTTTGAAGTGTCATATGATATTTTGTGATTCACAAGGAACATTTAGAATTGTGTTAACTGAAAGTACACAACAAAAACATATTATATTTGCTACTATGTTCAGTGAATTCTTATCTGTCCTTTTTGCTGTCATGTTCAGTCCTTCTTTCTTTTTATATGCTTTTATTTAACTTTTTATGTAATCTGTTTCCAGAATATATGTCGCCAAATCTTAGAACTAAAAAAACTGAACTTTTAGAATAGATGAAAACTAATGGCTTACATAATTACATCATATGCATATCTTCCACTTAAATACAGTTATTACGCATTGCTTTCCACCTAATGTGCCACTGTGAAAATATTTATCATATATTTTTTTAATTGGCAGCCATCTTGATCTGCCACATTGGAATTTTGAAGTCTTTTTTAAGCCCCTTCTCATTTTTATAATATTTCAAAAATTAAGATCTGAATTGATTTACAGTTCCCCTGCATATGAAGTAATCTCATGAAACTTTTCAGAACTTTGTAAATGTGATAGTCATTTTGAAAGTTACAGTTCTTTGTTATCTCATTAGCAAAGCAGTAAATTAATTTACACCTTTCTGTATATAAAATATTTTCTTAAGACTTTTCCAGTACTATTTCCGTCCATTTGGTGGCTATCTTGTATTTGCCATCTTGTAATTTTTAGTTTTTAGTATGTCATGTATAAAGCCAGCAGCTTTGTGTAATGTCATACTTAATACATATAAAAAATAATATATGTTGTCTTTTCATTAACCTCACATATTTACATTTTCACATCAGGTACGCATTTTAAATTTATATATCTCACTTGTATATTTTAATTAGAAAAGTATTTTGACTTTCATGTTTTTATTTTTTTATCACTCAGGGTAATAAAATATGTATTTTTGATATGATTACTTAGGGTCGTCAGGTTCAGCAGATGTTCCCACATATGCCACTGAACATAATATTAGATGACCTTCAGTCAACTAAATCTGTTGAAGTTACTATTGAGAATATTTTAGATGGAAAACTAGTCACTCCACCAGTAAGTTTTTGAAATTTTTATAATTTATCTTTAGAAAACAGAGAAGTGTATGTTTATTTTACAGAATATCAAGTTATAACTAATGAAATCAGTCAGTCATTTGTCAGCCAGATATTATGACCGTCCATGTTATATTATTGACTAGCCGCTATGCAGCAGCCTTCGTCTGGTTTTTAAATGTACCAGAAAAATGCCTCAAGCTAACACCTGGGACTGATGACCCCGTAAGTTCTTCCAACTTTTTTTGGTTGAGATTCCAACCCCCCTTGCATGCAGCCCTAGATAATATAAAATAATTACAGTGAAATAAGCAATATCTCTCAATACAAATATTAATTATCCTAATAAATAAATTAATTAACTTTCCATTGCAAATGATATAAAGGAAGTTAAGAACTTTGTTTCCTAAAAAAACATGTAAAACTTTTCAATATCTTAAAAACAGTGAAATAAGCAATAAATAAGATGAATTAAATGGAAAACAAATCTGGAAAGGAAAGTATAATTAACAATATTTTATCTCATATTTTCAAGAGAAAAACAATCAGTCCACTGTTCAAAGCACTGAATGCAAAACTGTTCTCAAAACCTTATTTCTAAAAGAATAAAATTATCATCAGAAAGCAATAACCAATTAAAATTGTGCTTTGTGGATGACATAATGCAAAATATACATATCTCTTTACTATTGGCTAATAAAAAGAGGGGGTTAGGGAAAAAAAGAAATTCTTTTTGTTGGGCCGCATGAAAAATATACGCATCAGAATAAGATCAAGATGTGAAAAGTGTATTCGGAAGCTTTACTTAAAAAAATCTTTAAAAATTACAAAATATTATTATTTTTGAAGATTCCTTTTTCTAAAAGGAGTTCGAAGGATTAAAGTTTAACGTGTCCAAACATCAAAGAAAAATGAACTTTAAAAACAAAAAACCCATTGAAAAGGTATTAAGCTCACTTTGCTAAATAAATTTCTATTTAATCGGTTTATTGAAATACGAAATTTAAGTATGTATAATAGCTAAGTGCCTAAGTTTCACGATGATGGGAAAATGGAATGTATAGAGTAAAATCTCGCTTTTCCTGTAGTTTATATCTCAAAATTATACGATCTCATCAAAAAGCATAAAAAAAAAAAAAAAAAAATTCAAATTTTGAAAAAATCGCTCTGAGGTGCACTGGCTCTTGTCTAGATGCACCTATGTACCAAATTTCGTAGTCCTGGGTCTTTTAGCTTATGTGCAACATAAATGAAAGACACACACACAGACAGAGTCTTCGTTTTATTATATGTAGAGATTTCAGGAAGCTCTGTAGTTAAGTTTTTCAAACTTGAGTTGTTAATGTTAAGTCACTTTAGCAAATCTTAAAAGGGAAATGAATTATGCATCTTCCAGTACATCTTCTTAGGATGTTGGTATACCAAGAAATGCAAAAGAAAAAAGCCTGTTTCTGAACCAACGGAAATACAATTCAGATATTAAATTGAAGCTAAATGGAGAATTGTAAATGTAAATTAAATTTAAATTTTGCACCTACTAACCTGTACAGGCTGGAATTGAGAAAGTCCTTCGACCAAATTTAAATAAAATATAATTAGACAGCAAAATAAAAAGCAAAAAAAAAAAAAAAAAAAAAAAAAAACTGAAATCTTTTAGATTTTATATAATGCCCAAAGGGATGTTTTTTTAATGTTTTGTGTGTTACCGTTATTTCTTTGCACTTAAACCATAAAATTCAATTCAACAGCAATATTGCAAGATAATTTTAAAAGAGCTTATCTTTAGACTTTCCGATACACAGTCTCACACGCTGGAGTGTTGCCATTGCTGGCTTTGAAATCACTGAGTTTGTTAATAAAAATTCGTTAAAGTATTACAAAATATAAAATTGGTAATAAAACAAATTACAAATCAGGCTTCCAGATGCCCATATTCGGTGGAAGATTACATTATTCAAAATTTGGTCGCTCTAGGTACCATTGTTTTATCACAATGTGTGAAACATACATACATTTATGCAGATTCTTCATTATTTAATTTCTTTAAATATAACACAGGGCAATAATATTTGGTGGCAACAATTTGTAAAGTAAAACGGACATTTAAAGTTTCTGACGCAAAATGCGAAAATGAAATTAATAACCTTTCTGGACTAAAAATTTTTAAATATAATTTTAAAATATGCATAATATCAACAAAAATGTAATTTGAAAATTTTAAAAATAAGGTTAGTAATTTTTAACTACAGAAGTAATTCACAAATCGGAAATTAGAGTCTTGCATTGAGAACAATAATTAATTATACAATTCATATAAAATTAAAATTTTTTAATTTAGTGCAAGCAAGCACAAATTTTGTGAATAATCAAGTAAAATAAGAAAGCTTTGAATTATATATTTAATAATACATTCAAAAATAAGAATAAACTGCAAAATTTTGCAGCTTTGTTATCACAGCTAGAGTGAAATAATTTGTCTTTCATACAATGATATGAAACAAATTTTTATCTAGCCATAATCACTGTTAGAATTTTGTTACATATTGCCAGAAATATTAATATAACGATATTATATATATGTGATATTTCAGAATAGCATACATACAAGAATGACATTATTTGACATGTGTGGCCGAATTCAACCTAATTTTATTACAAGGTAAAGCATTTCCGAGGACACAATATTGATTTACATTATTATTATTTTGGGTGTGATATGCACCTAAAAAATTTTGAAGACTTACATTCTTCAATAATGGAGACAAAGCAGAGTGGTAAAGCAACACATATAAGCAGCAGCAAGCGAAGTAGAGAGAGTTTATGCAATAGTAGCAATGGTATTTACAAGACAAAAAATTTCTTTAACCTGATTGGCTGAGAGTTTCATGCATTGCAGCAGGATTTCATAAACACAAAACAGATTACATTTTCAGATGGCAACCTTTAAGTCATATATTAGTATTTTTAAGATAGGAAGGGGACATAGCCAAAGTTAGTAATTTTGAGTTTCATATTTTTTCATCATATATGTATACTAACAGCCAGCTTTCAATTTCATATGAGTAAAGGAATGCCCATTTTTATTAGGAAAGTTAAATTGCTTACTTATTTTTCTTTTTCAGTCATAACAGCTGGCTGTTAGTTTTAATTTACATCATTCTGATGAAAACTAGAATGTGAGAGTGTGACAATATTATTTGTTTGTTTTACTCCCCTCTCCTGAATTTTTATCCAGAAAAAGGCCATTGAAAAGTAGATGTTAAGAATATGGAGTAAAATCTTGCTGTTGTTACTCAGTACATCTTAAATTTTCAATCCACGTCTTCATGATATTAATTCATAATACCCAAATTATAACTTACATTTTCATGTAGGTTTCAGATGATGATTGAAGATAGTAGAAAAACACAGGAAATCTTAAAAATGGCCTGCTAGTTATGATATATAATTTGTTTAAAAAGTTCAACTTTGTTTAAAGTGTAATTTTAAAGTTTATTAGTATCGCTGAAACCTTTTAGAAACTGTACTTCTAATTCATATTATAATGTGCATATTATTCAATCATATTGAAAATACTTGTGTATATTTTTCAGTCTGTTTTTCAAGGCAGTTATCACCAGAACATTCAAGAATCAAGCTTTCAGGCATGTTAAACCATTTTTATTATTTTCTTAGTGATTAATATAAAAGGGGATGACCTGGAAATTCTTTTTAGAATAATGTAGAACTAGTATATCAGAGCTCTAGATATATGTATTTATCACTAAAAGATGCGTGAATTTGTGCAGAAAATGAATTCTCACAATTGTATATTTAAGAGAATGTAGTATTAGTATATCAGAGCTCTAGATATATGTATTTATCACTAAAAGATGCACGAATTTGTGCAGAAAATGAATTCACATCACAATTGTATATTTAAGAGAATGTAGTACAGTAGACTTCTGCTGCAAAGGAAAATTTTTTAAATTGAAATATTTAATGTAATTTGAATCTTAGAAAAATTCCATTCTTAAAATATAATATTGAATAAAAAATTAGAAACATGCTTTTTTATTTCAAAACTGCTATTTGTTTATCTTTAGGTTTTCAAAATGTGACTTTTGAAAGATAAATAAATTGAAAAGAAGTCAAACTTAAATGCTTTCACTAGCATCCATTTTTACACCTACTGCACATACATCCTTACTTTTTATTTCTGTTATATGCTTGTACATATTTCTGTTCCTTTTTCATTTCACAACAATATAATCTCTTAGCTATAGTTACTTAATGCAATAAAAATGAAAAACAAGAATTTTTTTCAGAAATTTTGTAATTAATTTTGCTTAAAAATTTCATTATTTTTACATGAATTAATGCATACAAATGACACATACACATAAATATCATGTGCACAGAAATCTTTACCCAGCTTTTATTTTCACAGCTATTGGTTAGACATATATTTCAATTATAAAAATATTTTAAATGGTGCAAATAATTGTTTTGGCAATTTTTATTTATATTAAAAAAATCAATTTTGTAAAAATCAAGAAGTCTAACATTTTGTACATATACCAATATTCAGAAAATTTTTATACTGATTATTTCTTTTATTTCTAATTTTATTTATTATTATACCAAAAGAATTTTCACAAAAGTAATTTATGAGTTTTCAAATGCTATAAATACACTAATAATATTTTCATGAAGTTTTATTAGTTTAGAATTAGAATGATAATCTAATAACGATATGAAAAATTATTAAATTTAAAATATTTTTCATTTTTAATTTATGTAAATAATGTTATGAGATGTCTTTGAGACAATACTAAAGCTTGCCAGTGTTTTTCTAGAACATTCTAGTATATCCTATAATCAATGCTGGCCAAAATAAAGGCAGAGTGGAGACTTCTGTGGATGCTGCACAGCACGATATGTATCTCTGTGTGTATATATGAGCATACATGTAAATATTTAAAACTCTGCACTTTTGATATGCTTGTCAAAATGGATTATTGCTGAAATTCTTCAAAAGAGAAATAACCCATGTCTAATCTTGACGTATCTCATTCCGCATTTGTTAGGTACTCTATCATCAACACGAAAGACTAATAAATGCTTCATAAATTAGCTTTAATGTCGAGAATTTTCACTGAAACCTATTATTTTATATTGTACATTCAATTGAACAATATGAATCTGAAAGTATATCATGGTCTGATTTTTATTTTTTGGAAAGTATTTCATTTATCCAAAACATTCTGTGTAATACGTAATTTATATATATATCCTGGTAACCAAATTAAAATACATTTGAAAGTTAATTTTCATGAAATTGTTTTTAACTGTTATTTTGTGAACAAAAACGAAAGATAACAAAATAAAATTTTTTGCATAACACTACTTTCCATGAATGCAAATAAATGGAATTCATACCTCTAGTTTTATATTTATGGGCTTTGGTTTTATATTTTTAATCTTACATTTATGAATTTTGTCTGACAAGCTTTAGAATTATAATTTAGTCATTGTTTTTATAGAATTCTTATACTTTTATTACATTTCAAAGAAGCTATATTACTTTTGGTTATTATATAAAATCACATCTTTGCAAAATAAAACATGTAGGCGAATTGGAACTGAAGGACAAAAATAGAGAGAATCTTAAAGCAGTTCTTGGCTTTTTTTTTTTTTTTTGCCACTATCCAAAACATACCTTTGTCTTCATTATGACCTTCTGCATAGGCAATCCACGTGTTACCATTTGGAAACACATAATCTCTTTTACATTAATCAGTCCATTACTGATTAACAAAACTGAGCAATTTAGTAATAACAAAACACTCCGTAATGTTTTGTAACTTTACTTTTTTAATATTCTATGTAATTGATATAAATTAAAATGTTTTCAGTTTACAATATATCCAGTTGTTAACTTTTATAAACATTTGCGACTTTGTCAAAAAAAATTCTAAAACTGTATGAAACATTATCTTTTAATTTTGAAATATAAGACTATAATTTGAAGTATTCAAATTGCAATTTTATTGTATTTTATTTGTTTTATATATTAGCTCTTTTGGTTGCTGTTTTTGTATTGAATTATAATTGTTTTCTCTTAAAGCACACTAAATCTTTATACATCAGGTGTCAAGCTTTGGCGTGATGCATTAGGTATGTAAGTACATTAACATAACTAGAAAACTACTTCTGTAAAGAACACTGTATAGTATGGATGTAACCAAGCATACCACAAGCATACAGTGAAATTGCTCCTTTTTGGGAATAAAATGGCTCTTACTGCAAGGCTGATGAGTTATGATACAGAATCACAGAAAA